TTAATATATATATATAAATTAAATATTAATATTAAATAATTATATTTAATTTAAGGTATTATATATTAAATATTAATATTATATATATATAATCGATTATGTTATATATATATATAACATATATATAACATAATTGATTATGTTATATATATATACGTAACATAATCGATTATATTATATATATATATAACATAATCGATTATGCTGTATATATGTATACAACATAATCGATTATGCTGTATACATATATATAGCATAATCGATTGTGCTGTATATATGTATACAGCATAATCGATTATGCTGTATACATATATACAACATAATCGATTATGTTATATACATATATACAGCATAATTGATTATGCGATTATGCTGTATATATGTATATAACATAATCGATTATGCTGTATATATGTATACAGCATAATCGATTATGCTGTATACATATATACAGCATAATCGATTATGCGTCGTTTCTCTGTTGCATGATAAAGATTTTGCATGTATGAGGTAGGGGTATTATGGAATTTTCTTAAATTTTACGTGGCTTTCATCTCTTTTCTTTGCAAAAATGCGAAGATGCTCAACGTCTTTTCTCCCTCTTTTCTTCGCCTTTCTTTCCTCATAAATCAATAGAAACAAACGTAAAATTTCCTCGCCTTTCATTCGTCGTGAACAGTAAATCAGTAGAAACAAACACTACCTTAAAATTTGGTTTAAGAAGGTAGCTTAGAGATAAGCTTTAAGTCACTTCAATGAATAGTGACCTTCTCTCTCTCTCTTAGCTTTTGGTTCTTATTGAAAATATTCTTTCAAACCAAAATTAATCTTCCTCATAATAAAACATTTAAATTCATGTTCTTGAATAAAGAATTAACAACTTAAAATAATTAAATTCATAGATATCAAAAATTATAATTTAAATCATATGTGTTAACAGAACAAAGAAATTCATATACCAAATAAAATACAATTTTATATAATTCATAACATAATATTTATGAATTACATAAATATCAAATATATAAGAAAAATTAGGGTGTTACATTAATGATGGAAAGTCCCCTAAAATACTCATCAATAAAGGTAATATCTAGTTGACGAGGTCTTCTAAATGCTGATACCACCATAATCGACATCACATACCTTTTTCTGGCTACCAACGTGAATCCTCCACCTATAAAAACCCTTTGCAGTAGTATTGAAATCTCCATGGTCTGCTAATATTTCCACTTCCTCCCTTTGATGTTGGGGGAGGACAATGGGCATGTTTATCCTAATCAAGGAAAGATGACTTTCAAAGTTTGTTAAAAGTTGTGAAAAAAACTTATAATCAGGATAGTCGAAGACACCATTCTACCTGATTCAATCCCATCTATCAATTAGATGATTGGGGGGAAGTTGAACAAACCTATACTATTAACATCTTTTAATATTTGTCACCTAGGTGTATTAAAGGGAGTTTAATCTCCTAAATCCTGATCATCACCCCTTATACCTCTAAACTCCAGTTTCTAACTCCTTACATTCTAATCATTCACTATCTTTACCCCACACTACAATTTTTCCCTCTCTTCTCACGCCTTATGTCATAATTGTCTCGCCTTTTGGTATAATTTATCCTTGGGCATAAGGAATTGTCTCTTAGATGCACCCTCAATCCAACTCCTATCCTTTTTTCTCCATCCCTTATTTCTACATCATTGCCTCTTTTACTTCAATGTGATAAACAACCTTTGATCAAATTTTGGCTATAACTTATAACTTTCTATGGATTAAATATTCATTGAATTGGGTCTGGAATTTTGACCGCCACTTTATTGAATCTCGTCAATAAGGCCTTCAAAGATTAACCTAATTGTTCCTTTATATCAAAGAGATCGATTTCTTTAGACAATTTCGATTTGTTCATAAAGAATTGTGCAACAAACATCTGAACAAAGTTGTAGTGAAAGGTACTAACTCAATCTTGGGTAGCTCTCATCAGGGTACCTACAAACATCTTGTAGTGAAAGGTACTACTCTTTTCACTAATTAACACTTAGGCATAAAAAGTCTTTAAATGTTGGTTAGGGTCCTAACTTCATCAAGTTCTCTACATTAGGAATCAAAAAATATGGTGGCACAATCTCCTCCTTCATCTCCACCAAAAAGGGCTAGAAATCCCTTAGTGGCTCATTGCGGCATCTCATTCCAATCTCATCAAACTCATTTGTAGAGACTATTGTACCATATCAACTCTCCTCTTTCTTTTTTCCTTCCTCCTTGCCCCCGTGTTTTTCTCCCCAAGGTCATTAACCATGGCCAACAACTTCTCCATTGTTGGATTCAATGTATTTTGACTATTTTGCACAATGACGATATGTCTACCTAAATCCAAAGGAAAAGAACCTATGAGCATTTGAAAAATATTTTCATTGGAGCCCCATGGTTGACGCTAAAATGTTTTGGTATGGAAGACCTCCTTTAGGAAAACTTAGTGGCATAAAACATTCAAAAGTAAAACATATTCATCTTAACTCTAAAAATCTCTTTATATATCCATTTCATGTGAGCATATTACAATTTTGAATTTTTCGAAAATGAACCCATAAATTTCGGCTTGATCACCACTATTTTTAATGATCATAAAAAAGATGCCAAGGTAAACCAATTAGATACGAAGTGATTAGTTACTTTTACTCAGTCACAAACCAAGTTAGTGTTTGAACCTATAGGACCTAGGTGCCTGAACTACCTCATACAAAACTTGCTTTCCAAGACTATGATGAGGTTGGACTACACTAGTATCCAATTGAGTCATACTCAACCACTGGACCAAGTAGACTTTAATCTAGGAGGATACACATCCCCCAAGCCCTGAGTACGCAAGTGAAGAAAGACTTCCTGACTAATCATCTTGAACTCAACCACTAGATCAAGTAGACTCTAATGTGGGAGAAATGTATTGTTTTATTATTTTTAATTTATAAAATTAAATATTATTTCCTAAAAATATAAAATTATCCTATTATAAGCTTTTGTCTTCGAGAGTTATAAAGTGGTCTAGGTGGTGTGTCGGGGAGGACATAGGGTTGGAGTGATAAGGAGAAAGTGGGTTTGAATTCTTCAACTAACAATACTCAATAATTACTAACATTTGTCGAAAAAGAAGCTTTTATCTCACATGTGTCCATGTAAATAAATTTTATAATTAAAATAAAGAAAAAAAAGGAAACTTGCTAAAATATGATAAACAATGAGATAAAAATAAAGAAAATAATAAATGTTGGATAAATTATTGCATTTGTATAAAAGTATAATTTTATATTAGATAAAAATACTTTTTTAGTCCTAGTTTTACTCATTTTACCTTTTAGTCTTATGATTTTAAATAAACCTTTTTAGTTTTAATGCTTATCTTTTTCAATCTTTTTTATTCCCTATATTTTAGATAGATTTTTTAGTCCTTATATTTTTAAATTTTCTTTATTATTTTAGTCTCTTTCACTAACTTTTTTTTTAACCTTGTCTCTTTGTATTAATGTGATAAATATATCAATTTAACTTTATATATCTAATGTTAAATTTATTTTATTGATATTTAATTTATTTTATTAAAATTATTTTAAATTAAATATGTTGACACTTTATACCTCTTTTCAGCTCTCACTTGTAATGTTAATTGTTAAGATACTATTCTTTATACACTTACAAAATTGAAGACTCATACCACAACATAAAACATACAATATTAAAAACTGTAGAAATTAAAAAGTAAAATAATAAAAAAGATATAGAGAAAATAAAATATCAACCTTTAATATTTTTCACCTGCCATTATTTTGGGAGGTGAAACCCAACGTAAACTAGGCGGGTGGGTGTGCTAGGCTGGCCTATGCAACTTCAGGTGGAGAATCGTTGATTCAAAAGTGGTCGGCAAAAGCGACGGCATCAGGGGCGAATAGCACCTCAGCGGACACGTGGCGAGTTCTTATAAGAGCAAGTTGTTATGCCCTCTTCAAACTTCCAATTCTAACCCCGACGCAACCCAACCTTTCCCCAACGGAGTCCCCCAAACTACCAATCTTCGTTTCTAGAGAGAGAGAGAGAGGGGCAGGCGCCGGAATCGATCTCCGATCGCACCGCTGGTTCCGTTTATGGTCGTCGGAGAATCGCAGATCTTGTAGACCTTCCAATCGTCGTTGTAGTCGTCGCTGAGCGGAGATGGTGAATTCCATGGTTGAACGCGCCACCAGCGACATGCTCATAGGCCCCGATTGGGCCATGAACATCGAGATCTGCGACATGCTCAATCACGACCCTGGGTACGCATTCCTTTGCCTCTTTCGTCCGAAACGCACCGTTTTCCAATCCGCGAAACGCGTGTCGTTTTTGTTTCTCATCATTTTGTTTTTTGTTTTTTGCTTTTTCGGCGGAATTTCGGGAACGGTAAATTTTAGGTTTAGATTGGCTTTGTTTTGGCGGTGTGAATGCATTATGATCGATGCGACGATGCGTGAGCTAATGTGTAGACTGGAATGGAACAGAAAATTTCAGAGGGATTTGGTTTGTATACCTTGTGATATGTGTTTCAAAATTGGCGTCATTGAGTTTTTGTGAAACATTTTGAATTGATCAACCAGTGATAGTTGATGGCTACTGTGGATTCTTCCATATTTTGTGTGACTCAGACGTGTGAGCGTATATGCTAGGTGACATCTAATTGTAGGTTATCTTCTTTGTGGAATTATATAAATTATAACCCTTATGCGCTATTTTTGCCCGCTTTGTTATGGTTTGAGGCTCCAGTTAATAGAAAAGTTGGTCCAGAAAGTGGCATCTTTTGTTGCTTTGGTTTGTGAACTTTTCATTATACAAATTAGTCTTTAGGGGGATGAAATTGTGCACTAGGTGACAACCTCGTTTTTGGACTAATTGTAAATTTTTAGGGGTTAAATCAGCACCAATTATGACTTTAAGAAACCTAGTTATATATTAACTCATACAGTTTTAAAATTGACACCTCTTGTTTTTTGTTTGTTTTGAAATTTCAAAATTTTTGACCTTGGCCTTGCATATTGGAATTATGTATACATTTCTAACAGTTTGAAGCTTAGTCTGAGTGATTTCAATGTTTGGTTAGGGGGAGAATGGGATTGGGCTGAGTGTCTGAACATATATGACTTTGGTGTTTGTACAAGCTTGTGTTTACACAGTTTTGAACAGCATAATTCTTTTTTATAGAAAGTATTCAAGAGGAATTAGAATTTTTTATGTATAGGGTTTGAATTTTCTCTTGGTTTATACTTCCATATATTGAGAAATCGGTTTGGTTATGATTATCAGGCAAGCAAAGGATGTTGTTAAAGGCATAAAGAAGCGGATTGGAAGTAAAAATTCAAAAGTTCAACTTCTTGCACTAACTGTAAGCAACAAGTGCTGTTACCTTTTTTTAAACTCTCATGTCAGCATTGCTCCAGATTCTTTTGGATTCAAGTATCTTTGCTTCAATTGCATTTTTCAGCTTTCATGTTGACCTCCTAAACTTTACATTGTTGACTGATTTTTGAATGTTAATGATGTTCTTTATAGCAAGTCTTATGAAAGTTTTAAGATGCTTCTCTTTCCATTGTATAGTAAAAAAAATAGTAAAATACTATCAAGTGCATGTTTTAACTTTTGCAGATAAAATAGTAAGTTTGTTAGTGAGAAAAGGAGAATACAACTGGGGGAAGATATCCTCAAAAAATAACAGACCTAAAATTTACAGTAAAATGTTTATTCTCTTCTTTATGAAATATATATTTTGTTTAAATTTTAAATTACTGTGAGCTGAGAGTGGTTACGCACAATTCTTTCCCATCTCAAGTGTAAGGTAAAATCCCTTGAAAATATGGGAATCTCACTCCATCCAAATGTAATCACATAAAAGAAATTTTATTAGATGAGAAGGAAACTTAATATTAGTCTGATTCTTTGGATTTAAGTTTTTCATGTTGATTGATAAATAATTGATGGAAGCTTTTGTTAACTTTTATCTGGGGATAATGTAATGGAATTCGAAATGGGAAACTGTGATATTTCTACTAAAAGAATTATATTAGTAGAAGTAGACAGTGAACTGTAGTAAAATGTTGTTCAAAAAGAATAAGTATATCCACTTGAAACAAGAGAATGGTTTTATTATTTCATTCATACTGATTACATTCTCATTGCATCTATTTGTAACAATCTAATCCTCCAAAATAAGAAAATAAGAAACTATAATATGTTGAAAAATAAATAGGAAGGTTCTACAAATATTTTCTCTAATTAGTAAGATTCTACAAATATTTCTCTAATTAGGATATTTACAACACTCCTACCTCAAGTTGGTAAATGGATATCAACCATTCCCAACTTGCCTACAAGATCTTGAAATCTACCTTGAGGGAATCCTTTTGTGAAAATGTTTGTTGTCTAAAGTTCTGTAGGAACATGAGTTGTAATCACAAAACTTCTGTCTAGATTATCTTTGATGAAGTGTTTGTTAATCTCAATGTGTTTGGTCTTGTCATGTTGTATTGGATTATGGGCAATGATCATGGTAGACTTATTGTCACAATACTGCTGCACGGGGTTGTCCACCTTGACTTTAAGGTCATCCAAAATGATTTTCATCCAGAGTCCTTCACACATTCCTTGAGCAAGGATTCAAAATTCAGCTTTTGCACTAGAACGAGATACTCTATCTTTCTTTTTGTTCCTCCATGTTACCAGAATATCTTCAAGAAACATACAGTACCCAAAAGTAGATTTTTCTGTCGGTGATAGAACCTGCATAGTCAGCATCGTTATATATTTTCATAGTCAAAGTGTTGTCCCTTTTGAATAATAGTCCCTTTCGAATAATAGTCCCTTTCGGACTTGACTTCAAGTACTGGAGAATTTTGTCAACTGCTTGCATGTGTCTCTCTCTTGGGTCATGCATAAACTGACTCACTACAATAACTGCATAAGCAATGTTTAGTCTTGTGTGTGATAGATAAATCAATTTCCCTACCAATCTCTGATATTGGGTCTTCTCTACAGGAGAACATTCTTCACTTCCAATTCTACGATTCTGTTCTATAGGAACTGTGGAGGTTCTACATCCCAACTTTCTTGTTTCTTTGAGGAGATCAATTACATATTTCCTTTGGGAGATGAAAATTCCGTTTTTGGAGTAAGAAACCTCTATTCCAAGAAAGTACTTGAGTTTTCCTAGATCTTTCATTTCAAATTGGGCGGCCAATTTTTCTTTTAATGCCAATTTTTCTATTTCATCATCTCCTACAATAATCATATCATCCACATAGACTAGCAGTAGAGTGAGTTTACCTATAGAAGAGTGCTTTATGAATAGAGTATGATCTCCTTGGCTTTGTCTATATCTCAAGGAAATCATTGTTTTTGTAAATCTTTTAAACCATGCTCTAGGGGATTGCTTAAGACCATATAATGCTTTGTTTTTGGAGGCATACCTTGTTTCTTTTATTCTGCACTTCAAAACTTGGGGGAATCTCCATGTACACTTCCTCTTCCAAATCTCCATGAAGAAAGGCATTTTTCACATCCAATTGGTGTAAGTCCCAACCAAAATGAGCATCTAAAGAAACAACAACTCGAACTGTATTCATCTTTGCCATCAGGGCAAATGTCTCCTCATAGTCAATCCCATAAGTTTGGGTGTAGCCTTTTGCTACCAATCTAGCTTTATATCTTTCTATTGACCTATTTGCCTTATGTTTCACTTTGTACACCCTACAACCTTCTTGTCTCTTGGTTTATCAATAACCTCCCAGGTTGAGTTTCTTTATAATGCATTTATCTCTTCTCTCATGGCTTGAGTCCAATGTTCAATTTTTATGGCTTCCTGGACTAAGGTAGAAATTTCTGTGGCATCAATGGCAACAATAAAGCTTCGGTGCTTATCAGAGAGATTGTTAGTGCAAACATATTGAGAAATAGGATATTTAACACATGACCTTCTTTCCTTTCTCAATATATTGGATAAATTCTCAGTAATACTTACCTCCTCACTATTATCTTTAGGGATTCTCACCTCCGGGTTAGACAATTCTTCTTGCTCTAGAGTCGAAGTGGGTTGTTTTTTTTTTCATATTTTTTGCCAAAATTTTTTTCTTCTTCCTCTTCTTCCTCACTGTGGGCCATGGTAGCTTCATTGCTTAGATCTTGGGCATCCTGCAACGACAAATATGGTAATGACAAGAAGGAGAGCTCCTCAACTTCAAGTGCTTTCTCTCGCTGAAGTGGAGGGCTGACATAAAAGGCTTGTCTTTCATGAAAGGTGACAATGACATTCATGGTGATAAAGACACGACGACTTTGAAGGTGATAACATTTGTATCCTATTTTATTAGAAGGATACCCAATAAAGACACATTTAAGAGCTTTAAGATCTAATTTACTACGATTCGAATGATGAGAGTGAACAAAAATAGCACATCCAAAGACTCGACTAGTTATACTTGATACAAGGGGGGAAGAGGGAACAAAAGACAATAGAGACTTTATAAGACTAATGCCATTTAAGATACGAGTGGGTAACCTGTTAATGAGATACATGGCAGTTAATACAGCTTCTCCCCAATAAGTTTTGGAACAAATATTTGAAAAAGAAGAGCTCTAGCTACTTCAAGAAGATGACAATTCTTTCTTTCTACATCCCCATTTTGTTGGGGTGTTTACACATGTTAGCTCATGAACAATACCATTATGAGACAAAAAATTGAGAAATTCATGATTTACATATTTAGTACTATTACGAGACTTGATTCTTTTGATATTTTTTCCAAATTGATTTAGGACAAGACTGAAAAAATTAACAAAGATTTGAAAAACTTCTGATTTATTTTTCATAAGGTATGTCCATGTGACACGGGTACAGTCGTCAATAAAAGTAACGAACCATTTGGCTTCAAATATAGATTCTAGGATAGGTCTCCAAACATTAGAGTGGTTACACACAATTCTTTCCCATCTTAAGTGTAAGGTAAAAGAAATTTTACTAAAAGAATATGGGAATCTCAAATGGTATCACAAAAAATAAATTTATTAGATGAAAAGGAAACTTAATATTAGTCTAATTCTTTGGATTTAAGTTTTTCATGTTGATTGATAAATAATGATGGAAGCTTTTGTTAACTTTTATTTGGGGATAATGTAATGGAATTCGAAATGGGAAACTGTGATATTTCTACTAAAAGAATTATATTAGTATGCAGTGAACTGTAGTAAAAATTTTCAAAAAGAATAAAGAATATCCAAACATCCTTTATCTACCTTATGTTGTTTTCTTTTGGGAAAGAAAGAGAAAATATCAACTTCTGAATATGCATGTAAATATGTCATTGGATGGGGTTATAATAATGTTAAAGATTTTAAGGCAATCATGCTCACTTAATAATTTTGCCGTCCGCATTGCTATCAATTCTCTAATGATGAGTGGGTGGTGTATGATTGATAGATACCTGCTTGTTATTTAAGTTAAATGGTTGAAGAAATAAGGCACATTATTGCCTGTAAATGAAAAGGTGGTGAAGGGAGAGATATAACTTGATATATGTGAACAACTGAATATTATTTAGTTTAATTTTGGTACACTTTCAGTGTAGATGAATTTTGAAAGCAATTATTACAAAAGTCAACAATTTTCTATTATATGACAATTCATGATTAGATGATAATGTAAAAGACTTTTACATTGGGAGTGCATTCTCATTAAGTTCTAATATTTTGATATTTCTTTTTCGGGTGAAATTTGATGTTTTCACAGGTGAGTTTTGAGAAATTTCTTTTATACAATTTGATTGATATAATTTGTGAAGATTTTGAGTAGGAAATGAGAACTTGAGGGTTTTAGGTAGAAGAAAATACATTGAGGGATCAAATTTTCTTAATTTTCAAAATACGGGGGTTGAATTGGCTAAAAAAAACTGTGGACTAAAATTGCACTTAATCCAAACTAAAGGGATAAAAAATGTAATTAAATTTATAGAATATTAAATAACATTGGTACCCTATGACTCACTAGCTTGAACAATGCTTAGTGCCACATTAATGTGAATACCAGTCATGTTCGATAGCTGAAACAGCAACCCCACAGTGAAAAATTGTAAACACGATGCTGAAAAAAGTCCTCCCTGCACATTTAACCAATTTTAAAGAACAGTTATTCACCATTAGACATTTCAGTAACGTCATTAATCATGACTGATGAAGCTCCTACGGTAAGCTTTCATCCGAATTTGACAAAATTCTTCAAGCTCAAGCCAAGAGAAACTTCAAGGCCGGAACTAGCTTAGAAGAATCAATGTTGATTCAAGGATGCTAGGACTTCCGGAAAGAAAATCCTAAAGCTCCAAAGAGGAAGGCTCAAGGAATTGAGAAGGAGAGAGTTCTCCTTGAGAGAGACTTTCGGTGAGGACTCAAATTTGAGTGAAATGAATCTCATATATCCAAAAGTGCCAAATTACACAGTCACAATAGAATATATAGGTTTTAGGAAGTGTGCTAGGCAAGCTAGGTTAACCTAAGGTTTAATTAAACCATGGTATGGTCAATTAAACCTTAGGCGCCAAAATTTGAATGTTTAAATTCAAATTTTGGTGCCAAACCGTCACCCCCCCCATGTGCTACTCAATTTGAATGTCATTTAGCATTCATTTGAGAGTGAATTTTGGACACCCCATGTGCATGCAAGCACATGGCTGAAATGCTCTCCAAATGTAATGTTAATGACATTTAAATTGAGATGCACAAGCAACTCCTTTTAAACCTAAATTCAAATTACATGGAAATGAAATGCCTAATCTACTTGGCCAAAATACAAGGCCCAAAAAATACACAAGCCCATTGGGCTAACCCTACTCTACTTGGGCTTTAGAGAATAGCCCAACTAAAAAGAACTATGGGCTTTTCCTTATTACTAGCCCATTCTTCATGCATCCTCTTGGCCATGGCCCTAGTAGTTGGGCCTTTGGCCCGCGGGCCTCCATCAATGACACTATTAACCATTTGTGAGATGTATTTAACTATTAATGCTACAAGCATAGATTGATAATTGTATAAGCACATTCATTTACTCTTGATTATTTGAGACAAAGATAACCACCATCATTAGACATTTCGGTCACCTCATGACACTTGTGAGACATATATGATATTATGATCATTAGTGCTACGTGTACATATCAATAATTGTATAAATCACATTCATTTATTCTTAACCACCTGTGAAGCAACTTATCCATATTTGCATGTGTTAACCACTTGTGATGGGTTGGCATTGATTGAGAATCCCATCTATAACATCAATATTAGTCCCCGAAAATCAATCATAATTTACCCTTGTCCTATAACAGTGGAATGTAATGCACAATTGTGTTATTATTGTTTGATAATTTTGCTTTATGGCTTTTTGGTATTACTTTCAAATGTAGTATTTCTAAAAAAGTGGTTGATTGGAGGCTTTTACAATAGAATGTGATATGGCTGTATTTGTAGGTTTCATTATTAGAAACATTTGAAATAGTGATTTCCATTGGAATTGATAGGCTCTGAATGGTTGAATCATTACCTGATTTGACTTGTAAGAAATTATGTTTCAAAGTTTAAAAAAGGATGGAGTGGAATGGTTCATATTGGAGAGGTGGAATGGAAAGGAATAGAAAGCCTTGTGTATACATCTCAATTAACTCATTATTTGGAAGCTTTGGAGGGGGGACTCTCCATTGATTCAAAGTCACAATGGTAATTAATAGAGTGGAGTGAATTACAAGTTTAATTTCCAGTATTGCTGAAAATATAGAATTGGAGGAGGTTTCTTAAAATCCTCATTTTTTCAAGCATGAGACTATCACGATGCTAATGTGGTACTTCTCTTAGCAAGCTCCGCATAGAACTTTAGGGTTCAATTCAAAACCTTGGCATAATTATACTGGGGATGTTGGTACTGGACCTCTGAAGCACCAATGTGTCTTTTTTTTTCCCGTATCTGTATCAGATATGTATTTGTCCCGATACTTCAAGGATACCTATCATAGGAGTATCCATAATAATTTTTCTTAAAATAAATAAAATCAAAATTTCCAATATGCTATACCTATATTTTCAAAATGGCTTAAATATGTTTTTAATCCTCAAATTTAAGACAAATTTGTTTTTGGTCTCTTAAATTTGAAACTGTTGTTTTTAATTCCTGTAATTTTCAAAAATCTTGTTTTAGTCTTTCAAATCATCAATAACATATCCAAAAGTAATAGATTAAGACAGTTATGCAATATCAATTGGATTTAATGTAATGTTTTCACTAACAAGGACACTAATAAGTATATTTTATGCATTAATATTTGATAATTTTTTTAACAAAATTTAAATATAAGGACTAAAATAACATTTTTTGAAATTATAAGGACTAAAAATAACAATTTTAAATTTGAGGGATCAAAAACAAATTTATCCTAAATTTGAAGGACTAAAAACATATTTAAGCCTCCCTCCTTCTACAAGATGTTTCCTATAAACTAGTGAATCATGCTCAGAATGTTATCAAACAAAAACAGAGATTTAAAAGGAAGAAATTGTGTGATTGGAAAGGGGATGCATTCCTCTCTGTACTTTTATTTTTTTCATGACTTTTTCTGCAGTGGACTCACCCCCACCATAGAGACAATGTCCAACTGTATTGCACTTTGTAATATTATTTATAGTGCATATTTCTTTATATGATATTTTGTTTTTCAATAGTATCCATATTTTTAATTTGTTTTCCGTAATTTTATTATATAATATTTATAAAAATAGATATCAGTATTAAAAAATTCAAATTAAGAATATATTTTTACTAATGTTTAAAAATAAAAAATATATTCTTAATCTAATTTTTTGATAATTGCTATTAATTTTTAATTTAATTTTTATTTATTATTTATTAATATTTAACAAATATATTCTTAAAAATATAGTCTTGATTTGAATTTTTTTATTAGTATCTTAAATGTATTGTATCTTGTGTTTTTAAAAATTTCTTATTGTATCCGTGTATCATTACTGGACCCTCTGGTTGTTGGGGAGGGGGTCAAGTGCTTCTTGAAATTAAAAGATCAAATAACCTTAGGCTTTTTTTGCCCAATACTTCCTTTTCTGTCTGTTGAAAGAGGGGGCGGGGGGGTTTCAAACTTGAAACTGTAGATAATCATTTAAGAATAAAGAGGGAGAAGTTTTCTATTGCAATGCCCCAAACCATTTCCTATGCTACTCCATTTATTGCCACTCTGTGTCCATCCATAGTCTTAACATCTCTTATTGTTAATTGGTCCTTTTAATTATTTATTTTTTATTTGGGCTTCATGAGAAGCCTGTCATTACATTTTTTTGGTTCAAAAAGAAAGTCTTTTTTTTTTAACTATGCTGGAATGAAATTAAAACTATTTTTTTGAGAGTACCTTGGGTGCCTTTTCAAATAATGCAAGTTCAGCTGGAATGCATTCTCTCTGGTCTGGGTATATTTGTCTTGTCTAGATCATTGATGATTCTGTTGGTCTGCTGTATTCTAGTTGCTGGAGACAATCATAAAAAACTGTGGAGATATTGTTCACATGCATGTTGCAGAGAGAGATGTGCTTCATGAGATGGTGAAAATATTAAAAAAGAAGGTATACAATATTTCTTAAATATTTTTGTAGTTTTCTGCTGTTCCTGTTTTCTTCTTGTAAAATAAGTTGATGTCATTTTTCATGCCAATTGTAGTCTGATTCTCATGTCAAAGAGAAGATACTCGTTCTTATAGATACCTGGCAAGAAGCTTTTGGTGGCCCGAGGGCAAGATATCCACAATATTATGCTGCTTACCAGGAACTGTTGGTAATGTTTACTACGAAGATTTTTACAGAGATTCTGTTGCCAAGTACTCCTCTTGCTATTGTGAAAATTAACGAAAGCTGTTCATGAATTAGAGCAGTCAATATTGAGCATTTTTGTTTGGATAAATGTTCTTATCTGATTGCTTCTTATAGGTTTAGACATTTAAGTGTGAATTGTTACACTTGGAGTATTTACACAAACATTTTAGAATCTAGTTTTTTTACGATTTAGTTTATTATAAAAGGATTTGTTATTTCAGCGTGCTGGAGCAGTATTCCCTCAGAGGTCTGAACAATCTGCGCCTGTATTCACACCTCCACAAACCCAGCCACTGGCATCATACCCTCAAAATATACGTGACTCAGAGGCTCGCCAGGACACAGCTGAGTCCTCTGCAGAGTCTGAGTTTCCAACACTAAGGTGTGGACTTAATTCATTTTCTTTTTATATAAAAGGTTGACTTAATTCTTATTGATTCAGTCCCATTCAATTTTTGGATTGTTTGTTTAATTATGGTTGTGACATAATGTTATACAGTGTGTGTGTAGTCATAACATAAGCATCATAAATACATGACCATATTTATAACTGGTAGAATTTCTTTGCTGTTCGGATGTCACATTTGAAGTCATGTTCTGTTTTGTGGCTTGCCTAGCCATGCATTTTTTAATGGCTGTTACTTAATCTTTTACCTTATGGAATCAAGCACAGTTGAGTGGCATTTGGGGAACCAACGAAAAGAAAAAGGAATATGTAAAATATATCTTAAAAGAGGAATCAAATTTTGATCACAGTATCTGTTTCTTTATTTATCAGTGCCTTTTTATTACTGTTAATAAATAAGCTGTATGAATTTCCATGGATAAAACGTCATTCACTTTGTGTAATGAGCTCATGATACGTTTAATATGTACTGATATAAGTATTATTATGATGATGATGAGATGTATGCTGTGGTACAGATGGCCATATAGTTCTGCATTATTTTGTTCTAATTGATATATTTTTTTACAGTTTGACTGAAATTCAGAATGCACGTGGCATCATGGATGTTCTTGCAGAAATGCTCAATGCCTTGGACCCTAGTAACAAAGAAGTAAGTTACTCAATTCATAGAGTCAAATTCTGATATAATAAATGAATAAAAAAATTATGTTGTAATTAATGATTTTGAAGATTATGGGTGTTGCATATTGAATAAAATACTTTCAAATTATGATATTGATCTGGTTGAATGTGTTTTTAAATCCTATATTAATTATCATATTCACCAGATTCCACTATTTTTCTCAAATATTTATGTTTTTATTCAGGTTTTCTAAAAGATTTATTGAATCAATTTGACACTCAATTGATTGACTGGTTTTTATATTTCCTCTACCTTGTTGTCTTTATGCTTTAACTGCTGATGTGAGTGTGTTAGTTATTGATAGGGTGTTGAAAATTGTTTATGGGAAAAGTCACTAATAGGTTTTCACTAGTGATATCACTGGCTATTAACATGGAAATCAACAAAATATTTGCTAGTAATGATTGAAGCCTGGCTGAATGAAAAAAATGGGGATGAAACTTAAAACTGAATAGAAGCCACAGGGATGAAAATTGATACTATACCAATTTTTTTGGTGCATCAAATGACTAATCGCCTATGGTATTTTGGCATTATCAGCTTAAAAATATATACTTTTGTATTATCTGTTTTAGGCAATGCACTGCGGCACATTATGTATTTTTAATTTTTAACTGATATACATATGGTAGTTAGTTTGGTGTTTCATTGTTTCTTTAACCCAAAAACATGATAGATGTAGCTTATGGAAAGAACAAATTTGACTCATGAAGGTGCAACACTAAATCAAGAATGGAAAAAACCATGTCATGTCATGTCATTTTTTTTACTTTTTATTTTTAAATCCTTAGGCTATGTTTGGATATCTAATGATGGGTGGAATGGAAAAGATGGGATGGTATGGAATAACATTACAATACTAGTGTTTTGATATTTTGTGATGGAATGGAGTAATGTTTCTATTTTGTTGTTTGGGAATAAAATGGAATTGAAAGTTATAGCTTTATTTGAATAGTTATTGTATTTGATAACCGCTAACCTATGATGCACCGATACGATACGCGTATCGGATAAGACACGTATCCGATACGGCGATACGATTATTTAAAAATATATAGGATACGATACTTGTAAGATACGTGTCATCATATATATCAATGTTCATACAATATAATAAATGTGTACTTGTAATTTTGATCAAAATTCATAAACATTTAATATATAATAGCTATTTTGCAAATCCAAATTAAAAACATACTTATTGTACATTACTAAAAGTAAATAAATTATAAATCATTTCATCATAAATTACTTTTTATTATTTGCAAATAGAATTAATATTACCAATTTCATTCCTTTCTTAAAATTATCTATATAGAAGACAATTTTCATTTGTAGTTCACCAAGGACCAATAGTTCTATGTTTCTATATTAAACATGTTTATATATCTTATTTAGCTGTAATGGATATTTCATAATTTTTTAAAAAATTTGAACACTTTATCGATACGTATCGTTAATAAGTATCGGTGAAGTATATGAAAGTATCAAAATTGAATAAATTTTTTATAATATTTTTAAAGGCTAGTAGGATACTTCATTGACACGTATCGGTGAAGTATCCAAGAGTATCGTGTCGGATACGTATCGGATACGGATATTAGATGAAATAATTTTCATTTGGTCTTATTCCATCCTTTTTTAAACAATCTAAACAATGGCAACCTATGAAGTTTAGATACTTGAAATGACACAGATACAGGAATGAATGTTACAATTTTAGGACAAGTCATCAATAAAAAAACCTGGAATTTGATAGGATAAAAAGTGCAGGTATTAGATGACATAATTTTCATTTGGTCTTATTCCATCCTTTTTCAAACAATCTAAACAATCGAAACCTATGAAGTTTAGATACTTGAAATGACACAGATACAGGAATGAATGTTACAGTTTTAGGACAAGATAAGTCATCAATTAAAAAAAAAAAACTTCAAATGCACAATATTTGTAAAAAAAAAAAAAACAGTATTTCTGTTAACCATATCAGAATGTATTTCTTCCCCTAAGAATATATTATGAAAATTACATATTTTCTCCAAATCCATGATAGAATGTCTCAAAAAAGCACTAGTCCTACTCAATAGAATTTTTGACTCCATATAATTGTGTATTATTTACTATGGCTTTTATGGATAGAAAGGAATCTAGTCTATGGTAACATTTGTTTCAACTTTCAAGACATAATGGCCTGTTTGTTTAAACTATTTTTCTTAAAATAAAAAGCATTTTTTTTAATAAAATGAGCAGTTTTATGTTTTTTTAATGTGTTTGTTTAAATTGCTTATTTTAAAAATAAATAGTTTTCTGCTTTTTTAAAGGAGCAAATTCTATATGCTTCTTAAAATAACAATTTTTTAAGCACTTTTTTTATAGTTTCTTTATATATATATATATTTAAGCAAACTGGTCGAATATTTCATTCCTAGGAATGACATCCCTAAGAGTACTATCCAACAAAGCTAAAATTGAGTTAATTTAAATATATTTGGTTAGATTTTAATATTCTTATTTAAGATTCAAAATAATTAGAAGGAAATGCAAGAGTGGAGATGGAAGTTACAATTGAATTAGAAAATAACTTCTCATATTCCTACAACAATATAACTTTCTCATCTCTTACCATGAGAATAAAAATGAAATACAACTAGGTATTACTACATTCCGGGGCTGAACAATACTTGTAAATAATTTTTGTAGCTCATAATGTACATGAATATTACATTTCTATGTTCACATTCCCAGGAATAAATTTTTAAACCTTGAAACAAGCACTCCTAATTTTAGTCCTATTCAAAGTATCTGAATTATGATCTGTATCCCAAACATTGTCAATAAAATAAAATAAAAATAAAAAAATAAAAAATTGAGGATACTCCTTGGATATTTATCTAAGAGTACCTTACATGTGTTTTCTATGGATCGATATGGATGTGATACCAATACTTTGTCCTTTTTTCATTTTTTGAATTGTTGGATACTTTATAGATGACAACTAATATCATCCCATTTCATTCCCCTCTCTTCTATCGTTTTCATCAAATCCATAACGTCACTGTTTCAGTAGATTTGATTTTTCCCTTCAATTTCTGTTGCCCAAGTCTAAATATGTTTTTGTTTCAACATTTAATTTCAAGAGATTATTGACTATCATGCTTACAATCTCCTGCTTGACATCTCATGGATGACCTGTTATTATTTTCAGGGAGTTAGACAGGAAGTTATTGTTGATTTGGTGGAGCAGTGTCGAACTTACAAGCAGAGAGTGGTACACCTTGTCAACTCAACTTCGTAAGGCCTGGAGTCCTTTTCCTTGAGTATTTATAATGATTATTTCATTATGTTTTTAAACACTCAATTCATGATCATTGTAGTACAATTTATTCTTTTATCCAAACAATTTAACAGTTATTATTATGGTCTTTTTTGTCTATTTTTCCAGGGATGAATCACTGCTATGCCAAGGACTGTCCCTGAATGATGATCTGCAGCGTGTACTGGCCAAACACGAATCTATTTCTTCAGGAACTTCTACCCAAAACCAGAATCACACAGAGAATTCAAAACCTACACCTGCTCGAGCTCTTGTAGATATTGATGCTCCTTTGGTTGATACTGGAGATACTAGCAAACAAACTGATGGGAGGTAAATCAAGTCTCTTGTTTCTTTCCATTATTGTGTTGCTCATGTGTATCATCTGCATTCATTGGCTCTATTACCAGTATGTTATGATTCACGATATGATTTGTATTATAAGATATGCTTTGAGTTGCTAGTGATGCAAATTTTTTGTTGACTCGTTTTGGTGCTTGGATCGTACCATGAATTGCATGCATGGTGGTTGTGAGGCTGAATAATGCGATTCTACCACAATCCACAATCGTGTCACACATCTAACTAGGTCAGGTCATGTACGACCTGGTTCAGAAAACCGGAAAAAAAACCCCTCCAAAAATTAGTAGATAAGAGGGAATCAGTCAATTCTTCCCCTTGAATCAGACCCAGGGTGCCCCATTCTTAATGTGCATCGCATTTGCCTTTCCCACATTGAGCTGTGTTTCTCTTTTCACCTTATTTTACTGTGGGTTCTGGTCATCTGCCACTACACTTGTGTTTCTCTTCCACACTAGATATATCTTTTTACTTGTGATATGTTTCTTAATGTTAAAATGTTCCTAGATACATGCCTTTTGTTATTGATGTTGAGTATGTGCTTTTATTTGTCTTTTAGTTGTATATGCTATTTTTTTATTATTGATAATGAATCTTAAGATTCACGATAAAGTTCAATTCACAATTTAGAATAGGCCATCTGATTCATGATTTGAATCTCGATTCAACTACCATTTTCATTGGCATGTTGCTCTTAATCTTACCGTATTAGAATCCATGCAATTAATCATTGCTGGCTAATTCTTCCTGTATTCAAGTGTACTTTTCAAAATAACTTCCAAGTGATGTATGCTCTAGCAACATGTTATATTATTTCTATTGAAATGATACCTTTATATTAGGAATAGTTTATCTCGTATATAAATTAAAATTGAGTTATAATTGTTGGCTTTCATTAGAGTTTAATGCTATGCGATGTTCTTAGCTATTCTTTTTAATTTTGATTAGTTTAATCTTGGTCATTAAAATTTACAAAGATATGTTTGGAAGTGTTTTAAGATCCAGGGTATTGCACTTGGGACATGTTATCTGAGATCATCAGAAGTCACCATTTTTTTTTTGTTCAGTTCACCCATCATAATCAATTGATTGAGTTTTCAACTTTCATTCATTAGCTAGGTAACTAAATAATCTTGGGTTTTGGCTGTAGACCTATATTTGTTATTTTACATGTAAACATGGAGGAATAGGTTTGTGTATGAACTACTTTCAATTTGATCTAACCCATGTTTATGTCTTTAGCTATATGGCTCTTATATCTATTTACTTGCATATATGTGCAGATCCTTGTCCAATGTTGAAGAAGGATCCCAAACATTGAATCAGTTATTGCTTCCTGCACCTCCAACTCCTAATGGTTCAACAATCCCTGCCAAGGTTGATCCCAAATGGGACCTGCTCAGTGGCGATGACTATAACTCACCAAAAGCAGATACTTCCAATGCTCTTGTTCCTCTTGGAGAACAACAACCTGCCGGTCCTGTTTCTCAGCAGAATGCCCTTGTTCTTTTTGATATGTTTTCTAATGGAAATAATGAACCTAAATCTGTCAATACCCAGTTACCCCAGCCAGCTAATGTTGCTGGTGAAACTGATCCATTTGCTCCCCAATTTCAACAGCAGCAAACAGTCATATCTCAAGGTGGATTTTACTCTAATGGAACTGTCCCAAATGCAGGTTCACCTCAGTATGAACAATCATTGTATACACAAAGTACAGGTCCTGGCTGGAATGGTCAGGTTGCACAACAGCAACAGCCACCTTCGCCTGGATATGGTGCATTTTTAAAGTTTCTTTGTTGAATTTAACATATTCCTATTTGGCAGAAATCCTTCACAATTACGTTCTCTTTTAGAAAATGATTTTAATTGGTTCATGGGGAATCTGCAAGTCACAATTTTTCTTTCCTCACTGACTGACAGTGATATGTTGGGTGGGTTCCTTAGATGGATTGAGAATGTAAATGTATAGGATTTGTGCCCTCATATTTTGGACTTCATTGTATGACTTTGTTTTTTCTGTCTTGTTTACAGCTACACAAAGCAGTGGATCATTGCCACCACCTCCATGGGAAGCTCAACCAGCAGATAATGGAAGTCCAGTAGCGGGCACTCAGTATCCACACATGCAGAATGCTGCACATCCTCCAGGGCCTCAAGCAATGGGCAATGATCAGGGTGTTGGTATGTATATGCAGCCAAATGCTAACAGCCATATGTCAGCGATCAATAATCATGTTGGGAGCAATCAAATGGGCTTGCAACCTCACCATATTCAAGGTGTTGCCGGGCCCTACATGGGTATGGCTCCACATCAAATGCAGGGTGGTCCTGTGATGTATCCTCAACAGATGTACGGAAACCAATTCATGGGATATGGCTATGATCAACAACAAGGAGTTCCATATATTGAGCGGCAAATGTATGGCATGTCTGTTAGAGATGATAGTGGTTTGAGAAACCCTTATCAAGTTTCTACTACATCTTATGCTCCATCTGGGAAGCCTTCCAAACCAGAGGATAAGTTATTTGGAGACCTTGTTGACATGGCAAAAGTGAAGCCCAAACCCACCACTCCTGGCCGAGCTGGTAGCATGTAAAAACTATTATACCGGGTTTGCTCTTTTTCATCCGATTGCTAACTTTTGTCCCCCCTTTTCTTTGATTTTTCATGTTTTTCTAATATTATATATATAATTCTCTTTATTGGTTCTTGTTACATATTGTTTTGCTTGTCTGGGAATTAGCATTTGATTATGTACATTCGTTCTAGAGAAAACATAGAAAACTGGGGTGGAAAAAGGCTAAACCATCATTGCGTTGGATTGTAGTTTGTCGCAATTCTCCCTTTTTGTATTACGCCTCCCTTATTGTTGTAGTTAAGATTTATAGGTGCTTTAAGCATAAACACCCATCCAAAATGTCCTACCGTTTATATCGAACATAAAAATTATGTAATTGTTACAAGATTGTAGAAACGAACAGGAACATCGTTGGGTCATAGAGAAGTGGTGTTTGAATAAAGAGAAATAAAATGAAAAAAGAATGAGATTTTCTTTATTTGGATGAGAAAGTGGAAAAAAAGTGTTGAATATCTTTCTTTTAAATCAAGTATGAATTCAATTTAGCAAAAGAAAAGTGTAAAATTTCAGTATATTATTATTTTTCTTAATATATAATATTTATTTATTTATCTATTGTGTTATAAATATTTATTTGAATTTTTAAACAATTAAATCATAGAAGACCCTCATTTCTCACTTTTCTCTGTTTGCGGGGGAGATTAGTTATTTTTATTTCTTTTGAAAGTCACATAATAGAAATTAGTATTTTCAAAGGGATAAGATTGAGAGAGTAATTGAAGTATTGTCTCTCAAATTTTAATAACATGGTTCCATTTTGCTCGACGTATAGGAAAATATCATTTAAAATTTATTTTAGAAAACATTGATTGTAAGTTACATTTTTAATCATAAAAGGGACCAGGGCCTATGAACTACGCGTGAATATAATAGAAGTAAAATAAACTACAAGAGAGAGTGAAACAAAATAAGTTACTTCATTAATATGGATATATTGTTTGGCAAAATCTCGGTTTGGATGACTTCTCCAAAAATTATGATGCCGCCAAGTTGCTAGCTATTTTTTGATAAGAGAAAGCAGAGTTTTAAAAATCTGTTCGGAGCCAGTCGAGACCCGGTGACGTTTCATTAGATCGGTTACTAGTGAACACCTGTGAGAGACAGGCCTTATATTTAAACATGGGTGTTTTGGGGAAAGTTGAGAATCTATTTCCCAAGCTTTAAAATAACAGGAGCTATAGAGACCATTGAAGAAACTCATAGTAATGTCATATCGAAAGCTTATAAATATATCTATACTATATCTCTAACATAAATTATATATATATATATATATTGTACGACATTTAGGTTATAAGCTTAAAAGACTGTGTACCATATTAGTCTTCTAGTGATCAAGTAGATTAGTTAGATTCTTTATACCTTTGGCACTCAAGTCTAAGAGGCTATATGTAGCCTAAGTCTCTCACTAACCAAGTAAATCAAGTAAGTTCCTAAATAATGACCGACTATGTCGTTAAATACGTCACATGATTAAGACTTAGTTGATTTCTAAACTATTCTATCACAATTAGCTATAATAAGGTGATGTGATTTACGAAATAAATACAATAGCATTCATAAATGTCAATATTTATGGACCTATTAATGTTAATAAGGGTACAACATGTTTTGTGGGACTATGTTAAAAAGAAAGGGATTCATGTTCATAAAATCATCTCAATTTTATATATAAGGTCTACTAGGTCTCACAAAAAGAATTAGTTTTACACTTACTAATGTTCTACACCGAAATAATCGCTAAATCTTCTTGGAGGAGATTCTATATCGAAATATTTTGGCGGCCATTGTGAGATTCGGTGAAACTCTAATTGATGTTCTTGTTTTTTGTTTGTAGATGATGAACTTACATCAAGATGAGACCTCAAAACAATATGGTAAGATTTGATAACTACTTTTGTGAAAATCCTTCGTATCAATGACAGATGGAGACAAAGACAAAAATAAAGTAATTTAGAGATGTATTATACTGAATTTAAAAGATAATCGTCAATTTCAACTAGGTTCACAATACTCATCTTGCATTTTTATTACTATTATATCTATTAATAATATAAAAGGAAATAGTTCTACAATTGTTTTCCCTCTAAAGGTTCTAACTATTTTCTCTCTAAATCTCCCTCAAAACCTTTTTATATATAAAAATAAAATAAAGTAATATAAAAATATTAATAAAAATATGTATATCAAAATTAGAAGAAAAATTAATAAATAAACTGCTGCTAAATATAAATTAAAAAATAATTGTATAAATAAAATCGAAAAGAATATATATATATATAATTGTAAAAAAAATCAAAATAAAAGGAAAAAATTTAATATATATCAAAAATAAGATATGTATATAATGTAATATGTAATATTTTTTTTAAATTCAACGATTATATTTTGTAATAATATATAATTTTGTAAAAAAAAATGAACATAAGTTTCTGACACTTAATTATAAAATAAGAATATGTTAAATTAATAATTAAAAAATGAGAAATGAGTAAACTGTTGTAATAATAAATATATTTCGATAACATCATAATAATATATTTGTTTTCAATGTCAAAAACAATAATGACTTTTATTTTCAATTATATGTGCGGTTATATGTCTCAAAACCTTTATTTATATAAAAATATTATTTATAAAAATGTTAATCATATTATATATTATATGAAAATATAGGTCAAACTTAAAGGAAAAAATTAATATATATTTAATTAAAATTTAATTTAAAATATTGAATTGTTCATTGGAGTAATTTAAAAAATTTAATTGAAATTTTTTTATGAACTATTAACATTTTGTAATTATTTTTTTAACATCAAATTTATTATGAATATAAATAATTTTAAAATAATAATTTAATGTATTTATTGTTACAAAATTATTACATACATGATAACATTATTTATCTTTTGATGACATTAAAATTATTATGAATATAGACAGATTTATATATTATCATTCACATATTCCATATACAATAATATACAAGTTATTATTATAAATAATAATTTTTTCTTATCAACTTTTATTCACCATGGACAGTTTCTGATTAATAATTTAATGTATTATTTGTCGGTAGTTAATTACTAATTTTGTAAATATTTATTATTAATTACTATCTCAAACTTCACACCCTCTCTTTTTAAGCATTGATTTAATCCTTGATATACACGTAATTCTTGAGATTTTCTTCATCTCCAAACCTTCATACAGACTCACTTGTAACTTGAACAATTTCTGATTAATAATTTACTGTATTATTTGTCTGCAATTAATTACCAAATTTATAAATACTAATTACTATTTACTATTAATAATTACTGGTTATTTGTTGTTCAAAAATTATTCTTATATATAATGATTATTTCACTTCAGATTATTATCATTATTAATTACTATCATTATTCACTTCAGATTTTGAATCTAAAGATTTGGTAAACAACGAAACATTATTCACATCTATTATTAAAATTTCCAACAGCTCTTTAGAGAGACAAATTACTCAAAATTCATTAACAGGTAAAATTAATCACATTTAATTATTTAAAAAAATGGTTACATCTAAAAATTAATGAATTATATATATATATATATATATATATATATATATATATTAATTTTTTCTTATAATTTTGACATATATTTCATATAATATATAATATGATTAACATTTTTATAGGAATAAAGGTTTTGAGACATATAATTACACATGTAACTGAAAATAAAAATTATTATTCTTTTTGTGACATTGAAAACAAATCTATTTACTATATATTATGAATATAAACAATTCCAAAATAATAATTTAATGTATTTATTATTACGAGATTATTTGATACATGATAACACTATTTTTTGATAACATCATAATTATTATGAATATAGATAATTTTATATGCATCATTCATACGTTTTATATAAATTAATATATGCAATCTTGGTGATTAAGACGAATTAATATAAAAATACTTAGTGTTTATCTGGTTGCACTCTACACTTCATCTGACTAGCATCGCTACTTCACTAAAAAAAGTATACGAGTTTTTGATACACACTATTCAACCCCCTTCTAGTGTTTATATTTTTTTTCACTGTTTGGTATCAAAGCTCAGTCTTTGACGGAATTGAGCATCTAATTGTGCTAAAGGAAAAAGATTTGTTATGGGAAGTGTAGACACCCAATTTCGTCTAGGGTACCCAAACCAAGGACAAAGGTCTACTAGAGAAAGACAAACGACCCTTGAGGGGCCCAACATGTTGGGCAACATTTTTGCCATGATAATATCTCTCGTTACAGACCTAATTTTAATGATTCGACTGTTGAATTTAAATATCAATGTATTGAGAAGATATCATCAAAATTTCAGCATGATCCAACGGTTAACGAATTCTCTAGAAGCCTCGCACTGCAGTTGGAAAAAGTAGCAAGTATAGCCCTTAAGGGTCCAATAGAGCACGTAAATGGGCCAAGATGGCTCTGGAAGGCCCAGAAAACTAAAAAAAAAAATGATCCAGAGCGTAGAACGATCATTCCCAAATTGGAACGAGTCGTTCTCAATGTTGGAACGACCCGTTCCGAAACCAGAACAACTTGTTCCCCTTTCCAGAAAATTTTGCATTGGGCAACGTTTTTGTTAAGATAATATCTCTCACTAAAGACTGAATTTTCATGATCCGAGCATTGAAGTTAAAGATAAATCTATTAAGAAGATATCATCAAATTTTTAGCATGATCCAACGATTAATGATTTCTCTAGAGGCCATGCATTGCATCTGGAAAATGAGTCTTATACAAGATAACATTTTTTATGACAGTATCTCTCACTACAAACCTAATTTCAACGATCCAACCATTGAAATTGAAGATCAATATATTGTGAGGATAACATAAAAAAAACCAGCATGATCCGACGATTAATGAGTTCTCTAGAGGTCCTGCATGGTGCCTAGAAAAGATAGTATTTTTATAAAATTTAATCCCACATCGGATAGCTCTCATATGCTTTTGTCTCCTAGTTAGCTATATAAGAAACCCTCTGGCCAAGGGATTGAGGACTGAAAAAGCTGCATAGCTTCCCCCCTCTTTATAAATCTTGGAGTGATAGTGAGGATTTTGTAGAATGAAAGGTTTCCAAAACGCGCCCCGCATGCATTTGGGAAGATTCTCTTATAAAAGACTTGCT